TCATTGTTTTTTATGTTATACAGTAAAAAAAAAGTTGAATACATTTAAAATTACGTTGTGTTTATGCCTGACGCCCCCGGTATTTAACAACATAAAATGAATCAGTAAAAAGTAAATAGTCACAAATATTTGTTAAAAAGAATGTGTGACAAAAACATTTTAAGCGTATTTTTCAATTTCATCAATGGTTGTATTCCCATGCAGCTACTTTTATTTTGAGCTTTTAATTTTTGCTTTTCTACAGCATGCAAATCTATGCATATTTTTGAAGCCAGTTTCTTAACATTGATTTTTATTTATATTTTCTTTTGAATGCTTTCCGGTTCATGTACCATGTTCAAGCAAACTATTCTAATCAAAATAATCAATATGTTTTGCGAAAATAATGTTATATTTATATGCCTTCATTCATTATTTCGGTGCATGCTTTTTTTTTGATTTTTGGTGCACCGAAATATGAAAATTTAACTAAATACGTTTAAAATTTATTTTTATAACAAGAAATTATAACTAACAAGCAATTCTTAAGCAAACAACAAAACCGACTTGAATTCTCATATACAAATTTAAGACTATCGTTAATTTCTTCATGATTAAATAACCGCATTTAAACCAAATTAGTAATGAGACCACCCAAATTGAGGTACCAACTTTCCGATGAAAAAAGAATTATCGAAATCGGTTAGCGCGGTCCACAGTTATGCAGTAACATACATAAAAAAATATATATATTTTGACGAACTTATAACCTCCTCCTTTTTGTGAAGTCGGTTAATAAAAAAAAAACTAGTGAACCCGCACGGCGTTAAAACGCCCAAGATTGAATTTCAAAACCTTATAACTATTTCAAATATTAGTAACGTATGAGCGATTCGAGTGCCATATTTCTTCTAAATCCGTGCAGTCGTTTCGCATAGTAGGTTTTATATATTATCAAATTCAATTGAATCACCCTGTACCGAAAAGTTTCTAACTTCAAAAACTAAAACTTTATCGCACATCTACAGGGCAAGGTCTTTATTTTTCAGGTTATACAATTTATTTTCGCGTAAATTTCTACGAAGTTCAATTTGAGTTCGAAGCGAATTTGGTTTAAATTCACTCGGAAGCCTGAAAGCCCTTTCAAACCCATTTCGATTGATATCCGTTCTTTAAAAATTCATTCAACTTATTAAATAATTTGAATGCAGCTTATAAATTACGTTTCAAGCCTTCTAAATATATTTCAGAAATAAAGCCTATTCAACCCCATTACGATTGACACACATATTTTAATAATTCATTTAACTTTTTAAATAATTTTAATATTTATATATATTTAATAACTGATGAATTAAGTTGAATTTTATTTTCTAAACATGTGGCATTTTTCAAACCCATTCGTTTAATACCCATGCTTTAATAATTCATTTAACTTTTTTAATAATTTGAAATAGATTTTTAGACAGGTGGCAACCACCTTCCAACACCTCAAAAATATTCTTAATGTTCAAACTAAATACTTCTTAAAACTCTTTCGTTTGACTTCCATATTTTTGCATTTCATATAACTTTTGGAAAAGTTAACTAAAATTTGACATTTGAAGCAGGTGGCAACCCACTTCAAAATATTTTTAAACTGCTAACTTCTGAGCCCCCTTTCGTTTGGCAACCATATATTAAAAATTTTTTTTTCTAATTAATTTCCTTAACTCAAATTTAATTTGATCTTTTAAATAGGTGGCAACCCTCTTAAAGTCGAGCTTAGAGAGAAAGATTTTCAAACCCCTTACCATTGATACCGATTTTGTAGTATTTGATTTTTTTT